CTCGGTATTAAATACGATGATTTTGATCCTATAATTTCTATTTTAGAATTTCGGCTTGATCGTGAAACGAATCAGGAAGCGAAATTTGTTTGTAAGAAATTGGTTAGCTTTTTTTTTTAATTTAAAAAAAGCTTCTAAAAGAAGATCTTACGATGCAGAGGTAAAGGGGGAAAATTAGAGAATTCATTGAATCCTTCAGTTATAATAAGATATACATCGTATGTATGTATGAAAGAGATAAAATAAATAAAAGAGTTAGAAATATTTCCCAAGGAAAACGTCGAGTATTAGCATTGATCCTATTCCCGTAAATTTTAAACCTTTTAACACTTTCGAAAGTTGTAATATCGTACAATTGGATTAACGTTCGTTAAAAACTGTAATAAGTACAGTGCTGGAGCGAAAATGTATGGAATGGGAAGCAGAGCTTTGGCGATATAGCAGTACATACTTGCGAGGTAAAGTTACATTAGGGTGGTACATGTGAAATGTCGTTTTCCCAAACTTTGTAGTTAGCGCGCAGATAACATGCCATAAATTTTGTCCAATATTTAATCGTTAGAAACGATATTAGAGAGAAAGAAAAACGAAGAAATGGAGGAACGTTTCTATCGCAAAAGGCATTTAATATTAATAAAATTGTTGTAACTTTATTATCGAAGTTTACGGATTATCGGGGTATTAATGTAACTTTTTTGAAGTTGAGTTTGAAAGCTGTTAAAAGCGTAAAAGCATTTATTATTTACTCCAACTTCAATTTTGGTTGTGCGTTACGTATTTTGCACTTTGTGGAAGGGTAGATATCGAATTGAAATTTCCTGCCGGTAAAAATTTTATTCCCACGAATGACGCATTGTTGAAGAATTATGCGAAACTCGTTCGGCTTTACTAAAGTCTTCCCCTGGTGAATCCGATACTTTTTTTCTTCTTTTTTCCTTTTGACAGTCGACTGTCGTCATTAGGACTTTACAAGCTCGACGCGAACTCTCCGAAGGGATACGTGCCGGGAATCGCGACTTTATACGAGCTTCGAGAAGAAAGCTTCTACGATTCTAAAGCGACCGTTATACATTTTGCGGGGCGGAAAGGTTTCGTGACCTCTTATTCATTGGGAAATCGACGTAGCGTGGGTTGAAAATAAACCTAACCCGAAAGACTTGTAAATCCGTCTTTGCTTGTCGTAAATGTTAATCAATACCCTCTGCTGTTACTGCAAATAACATTCTGACGATCTAGATATTTCAGTCGAGGGTGTACATCGCCTTGTCCATTTCAAACGAACTCCTTTTTTCAAATTTTACATGTAAAAATGTTCTTCCATTCGAACTCGTGTCTTTCTATTAATTCGATCAAATGAACAAATAATGATAGATCGTTTCAAACGGCGGTTCATATCGATCCATTTTGTATAGAGTAAATCTTGAAATATCATAATACTTTCTGATACTATTTTTGATCGTGAACGTACAAGATAACGAGATCGTCGAGTATCTCTCGAATGGTAGTTATTGGACGTCGTGTGTGTTTATAATTATCATAATCGTTACTTTCAACTGATAAAATCGTAGTATTGCGGATGCTCCAATATCCTCGACATTCTTTCAACCTTGAATTTAGCGTTCAGGGCCACAAGCTCGATAGGGATTACAGTTTAACTGTACACTGAATTATATCGACTGTAACGAGTTCGTCGGCGAAAAAGGAAAAGAAGAACAGTTTTACAATGGCCAATCACGGTGCTCACGATTTAATTATGCTAATGCAACGTTAGGCGTCCGGACAGAGCTTGCTCGGGTTTGCAGTACCGCTGGATCGACGTAATTGTCGCTGACTTCTTAATAGCCCGAGCAATTATCCCAACGAAGTACTGGGACTTGAGGGGAAGTTAATTCAGGTCGACGTTGGAATACAATTTCGTCGTGTCACGGTAACGATTCGACCGTGGTGCTCCTACATATTCGCCGACCTGAAATTCTTTTTCGCTTGGCCAACGGAATAGTGCCGCCGTTTAAACGAATAAAAATCTTCCGTTATACGGTTGATATTCTCGCTTCGAAACTAAGAATTTCCTCGTTGGTAATTTCCGTCTGCGAGGCCGCGTCGACGTTCTCATTGACGCGTGGGTTGCCTGAAACACCGTCAACCGCATGATGCATCGCAGTCTCATGTGGAAATTCAATTCCTGAATACGCCGCGGCAAGGTTAAGTATATCCCGTCCTGGCTGCTGCTGAAACACGGATGCCTGCTTCAACCCTTTTCACTATGAATTAGTTTTTCTCTTTTATCCCTTAGACGGTTTACAACACATATCCTTGTGTTTAACACGGGTTTCATTAGCCAAACTAAACTGTTCTTTGTCATTATGTAACCTCGGATAAAAGTTCGAAATATATTTAAAAAGCAATTTACAAATCTTACAAGAGGTAATTATCGTATGTAATATTCGGTTCTATCGTTCGATTATGCGTATGAACATCTGAAATGAACATTTTCTATAAACCTGCTCTTCAATACGTCTTTTTTTTATAACGATATGCATTTTATTCATTTTATCAAAACGTAAACAGTTTCAAATCCGAGAACAGGAATATTTCGAGGTTGTAGAAAACGACAACTTCTCGTGTAAATATTGTGCTACTACTACTGCCATTACTATTACCGTACAAGTTTAATATTTGATGTGTATTTAAAGGTAAGTCAATATTTTATTACCGCAAAAAGATATTACCACTTCTATAAATGGAACCATACTCATGATACGAATATTTGTGTATCAAACAAATATGTACATCGTGATACTGGTCCGTGTGCGTTGCCTGCATCTTAGATTATAATTTAACGGTATTTCATAAAGGATTCTCGGCGAACCATTACATAAACAGTTATTACTATCGTTTATAATTCCCTGATATAATATAAATTTTCTTTCCTCTGATCACATCGTAAGTTCTTATTTTCGCTTTTCCTTTATCCAACTAATTGGATCGTGTACTACTCGCATCGCCCAGCTTCAGTGATTTATGCTTTATCGCGAAAGATGAAACCACCCGTACTTCCAATCTTCTGGCGTAATGTTCTGCCGACACATTTATGCCTTCCGCGTAGGAGGGTCAAATACATACTTACTTACACGCGTCAGAAACCGAACATTCTTCAATCTCGGAAATTTTGCTAAAATATTCGGGCAACATCCTCCTTTAATAGGCAATGAAATAAAAATTCAAGCTATTATTACGTATAAACGAGAAGAAAAAAACAAAATTAATGCCGCGATAAATATTTCACCGAATGTATTTAATAAAAGTATTGAAATATATATAATATTTCAGGCACGATCGTATTTCGATAAACATTTTTAAATATTACTTTTTTGAAATTGATATTCTATCATAGAGCGATAAACGGAGAAATAAAACGTAGAAGTAATTAATAAAAATAAATGAAACGTCACATAAGCATATAATTATAAAAAAATCGTAACAAAAATATGAAATATTTTACTGTTTAATACAGTCAAATCAAAAGTAAATTGGTGTGTTTCCTTTTGATTTATCCAATTACATGTACATAAAGTAAATTACAACAACAGGTTGATATATCGAATAAAATTAAATAGCACTGTATGTACGTGGATATCTCTATCGATATAAGATCTTAAAGGTAATAAATTTATTTCTCCTTTTCTATACTTTTTTCTATATTAATATTATAAATATTATTTACTTATTTTATTATGTATTCTGATTAAAATCACTGTCATCTCTCTCCTGTTCCATATTTTTATCACAATCTTTTAACAAATCTTTTGGATAACTCTTATTTCGTGTTTATTTCCACATTATTTATAATTTCAAACTTGAATAACAAAGTTTACGCGAAAACCTGTAGAATACTCCGTATAAAGTTTATTGTAGAAAGCCATCATTCATTTCGACATAACGAATCTGTGTTAGTAAAGTCATTTCCATTCATTTTAATACAAACGCATGTTTTTTAAGTACTCGATTCTGTTTGCATACCATCTACATAGAAATATTCAAATCTTCCAAATGATTTTAGCATACAAATTCTTCTTTCGTACTATATTAAGTCTCGATTTCCACGGTTCGGAGACGCTTTTCCTTTCGATAATACGAAATCACGGACGAGCGAACAGAGCCGAGCAACGATAATCTTTCCGAGTATACCATCGATTTCATAATTGCATAAACGCTTTATCACGCGAAGAAATTCCATTCTTTATGTTGCCGCACACATAGAATGCCGAGTACTGGGTATTGAATAACGTACGCACCATTACCTAAGGGACTTGTAATTCGATGCGACCAGTAAACGTCGTCACCCTTTCCCCCTTTGCTTTCTGGTTGTAGCACGACGGGACAACATACGTGATCCCACGCGTAACCATAGGTTTCATTGATCGTGTACACTGTTCGTTCGACCATGTATATTGCACCGTTGACGAACGCTCTTGCTTCACTTTATGCACTGTCTTCCATACGATAATGCGACATTGGCTTCCACCACTCTTGACTTTGGGAACGCGCACCTACTTGCCGGTACACGTGCCTCATGTAGTCTCGTGTACACGCACTTTGGATTTGTAATCCCTCCGGTAATGAACAACGTAGATTGAACATTGCGAGGGTGCAGCTCACCGTGGTACCACGTGATTAGATTTCCAAATGCATCGAATTTTCCTATTCGAATCAACGAACTCCTCGTCCCACCTACTTATACGACTTTTAGACATTAAAATTCCAAATATGAGGAACGCGCATTTTATATCTTTCATTCTTTCCGAATATCTTCGTGAAATGATATTATGGGCATGAGATAATACACACATTATAGCAGATGACATATATCATATTGTAATATGCATCTACCTAGATTCGTTGCGAATTAGCCTATCAATTTAATATTCGGCTATTGCAACTCATGGCCAACGCGACAAATATTAACATCGTATCTCATGATGCTTTATTCAGTGACGATCGTATCACTTTAGCTGTTATGGCGTACATTTACGCTAATAATTTAGATATCAAAGTCGCAATAATGGTACATTACGCTAAGCATTTGTATTGTCATAGCTCAATTTCATTCGCTCCACGCTAGCCCCTGTTCCTCGATTTTTAATCTCTTTAATCTTCGCCACTTGTACGTCCTTGTTACCGAAAGTATTTTCAGGTAGAAAAGTAGATCAGGTTCGAAAGCTTCATAGAAACTATGAACGGGGGGCTCTTTAACGTCTCTTGGTGCACGTACACGTACACATATAATGGGCTTAAACCAATTCCGGCTCGCTCGTACAAAGTACTCGCACGGAGCCGTCTGTACCACCCACTTAAAGCATCGTGCTTCTCGGCGTGGCAGCAACAGCGGTACCAGCTACATCAGAGATTGCGAGAGCAGCTCCCAGTTAATAGCATTGCGGCGATGCTGAAAGGCGGCATATCGATGTCTACGTATTGGTCAGTATGACGGTCGAAAGAGTTTCTAAAGAAAGTCACGCGCTAATCACTTAAATATCAACGAGGTATTTGCGTCGAATCGGGGGTGATCACGGTCAGGGTCAGGTTAAGTAATTGACACCACGCTTCGTTGCGTTTACCATTTAAAATCTAGTTACCTTCTACACATAATATATTTCTTTCGTTTTTTGCATAGATTAGTTTTTAGAGAAAGTACGTTTCGCTTCTTCCTTGAATTGGTATTATTAATGAAATTCTTCAAATCGCAAATTACAGATTAGCAGTGCGAATAAATTGTTTTACGTAAAAGAGATAGTGGATACGGTATTTATAAATTATATAAACAACGAATCAAATAATTGTCCCACCCGACGAGGAATTTAAAAAATCGCTTCGTATACTTTGGCAATGATCGTATGGTCGCGGTTGTTCGAAATGAAGAAGGTATTTTAGGTATCGATACGGTTTGCGTAGAAATGGTGTACAGTAACACGAGCCGGTGACTAACAGCGCTAACTCTACCCCAGCATTTTCGTCAGCGGGAAACACTGATCCCTTATTCTTGATAACAAACAACGAAAGCGGCATTGTGTATATTACGCAGACGGATATGAACGACCATACGTAATCCTGCTTTAAGCACGAAAGTGACGGGAAGCGAACGCACGCCATTTAAAAGAAAACGTTTGGAAAAATGTGTTTTACTTTTCCTATTTGTAAGTTTAACAAGATTCAGTGGGTTTTATGTATGGAGTGTAGCTGTCCCATTTCGTATATTATGCTACAAATGTACATGGGATAATCCTCGGAGTAAAAATAAGTTGAAAGTACGGGAAGACTTTCTTTTGCACTAGATGCTGTTTGCAAGTAAGTTAGTTTTGAAAATCGCGATATATGTACTTGGTTAACAATGAGAAGTTCGATGTTGTTTTATTGACCGAGAACTGGAACTAAATACGCGACAGTAATTTTGCGAATTCTTCGCGTGGTATGCCATTGCGAATCACGATTTAGGTAGATCCCATGATCCCGTGTGGGCTTAGAAAACTACCCTCGCCGATTGTCGACGATTTGCGGTATTTACGTCGATTATCGTCTTCCTGCGATTACAGTACAAAGACCTTGTCCCAACGATATCCGGACTCTCGCGGTTGTACTCTTCGAGGAGGCTGCGATATTATGCTACTCATGACGGCTTTGTTGATCGTAATCATAATCTCTGACTATCGAGATGTGTCTAACGAAGGATTGAACGCTGCTCGCCAATGACCAAGAAGCTGCTTCCCATTGAACGAACGCGATTCTCGAGACGGTGGTTCTGGATTTAATCGTTCTTTCAAGTACGCTACTGATTTATACATATGCTCGCGCATGGCGAATGAAATTCTCGACGTGATTATTATTGCTTCAGAACATGGCTTGATTCGATATGGCATGGTATTATGGTCGATTATGGTGCCTGATCGTAGACGAAACACGATATCTTACGAAGGTTTACGAAAGAGACTGCTTAGTGCCTGTAGACGATACTTGACCTAAATAAAACGCTACTTCGACGTGACCAGTTTGAGTTCTTTGCGTGAGATTTGCCGTTCGAGAACTGTGCTACGTATTTATTTAACTTATTCCGTTCGCATTAGAAAATTTCGATAACCCTGAGGCGTATAGTATTTTTACGATTCGTGCTTAGGAATTCCTAAGCATCTATGTAGAAAATTCAACAAATGTTCTATATATTCGAAAGTCAAATTTTAATCATCGGAACGGATAATTTGCCTCGCAACTAACTATAGAAGGGAAGATTTCAAAGAATTTGTTCTAAAGAAAAACCTTTACCTTCCTACCTGTTTAGATAAATCTCACCTTTTCTCTGTTCGACTGTCCGACTAGGACCCAAGTTAGTGAGTATACGCTCCTTATCTAGTCAATAATGATCACGAGACCCCTCATTGCCTCTTCATCCGACCGATCGTACAGAGAGGGAAGTATCCACTTGTCTTGTCACCCCAACATTAGCCGCATCGCTTCGCTAAATCGTTCGCACGAAAATAAACAATCAAATTATTCCCTCCAGCCTATAATTCTTTCATTTTTCTGTCTTTTTTTCCTACTTATTCGATTTCCTTACTCTTTTATTACGACTATTAGCGAAACTACTGCTAGGTCAGCGAGTCGTTGAAAACCGGGATATCAAATACGATATTGCGTTTACCTTGAACGAGTACCAATAAAGTTGGGTGGATCCGATAATGCGTGTTCGTCCATGACGATATAGCGATCAGCTTCGAGGCTGTCATAAAATTAAATGAAGCGTTCCGGGCTCCATTTCCTCCTTCGTTCCTCACCGATGCTTTTTTACTATCTGTGTGACCCGGGGACCTCTCTTCTTCTACGATTTCTTCAGTCAAAGATGAAAACGCTTTTTAAAATATACTGTCGTATTGCGACAAACTTCAATGCGGATTGTAAAATGTTTAACTAAGAAACATCGTATCGATCTATCGTAAGATTCCATAGGCCGAAACAATAAAGAAACTAAAACTTTTGTTAAAGCCATTTCGATAATTACGTCTATATAACGTAAAAGTATTCGTAAAAAAAATTATTCACAAATTTACGCTGGAAACTAAAGGAGTAAATACTCCGTCACATATTGTACAAAGAATAAAACGTATTCGTTTACTTTCTAAAAAGAAAACACCGATCCAATTATGTAGTCGTCGAATATACGAGATCTCCAATTATCCAAATAACAACAGCATCGGAATATATGTCAAGATCTTAGATGAGAGGCGAATTAATACGTAGCATCGCATCGGTACTTTTCGCGTGAAAGTATCGTTATGAATATAAAGAGATGGATACAAGTAGAAGGAAGATAAGGTCGAGGACGTGGACGACGACGACAAGGACGAGTTTCGGCGAGTGCGTCCGTACGTATACATTGTAACGAACGAGTATTTTCTGCCGAGCGGAATACAAACTACACATTGACTGGCCCCCCGCCCCTTTACACCGTGTGGCTCACTCACCCTCTTGCACGTGCAGACACATTTGCGGGGGTAGCTTCGGATTCGTCCCCGAAATGAGAGTCTGCTTTAGTGTCGCGAACGTGTCCGTAGGTACCCGTCGCCTCCACCTCCTCCGACGTTTTCTCTCCTGGTTTCTCTTTATCCTCTTTTCTCCGTCCTCCGTTCAGCTATCGTTCTATCGTGACGTCCTACTCGCACGCGTTCTTGTTACGTAGTTTTATCCTTATCCAGAGTGTCCGCAAGGCACGTTCTCTCAGAGTGCACGGAAACGAGGTGCAGGCTGTCGTCCCGACTGCGCCTGCTTCCTGGCGGAAACGCGACATAATGCGCCTCGTACCGCACCCCAACGATGACCAACGTGCCGTGAAGAGGGCATCGGCCGCGATGACTTTTTAATCACGACGCACGCTAGAAGTTCACCCCTCGAACCATGGTTTGCAGTTCTCAGAGGCTCTCAACGTGGTCCATTGTCAATTCAAAACTAGTCTCAGATGGGACAAGTACCCTTATATCGTGCCCGGGTTCTTTTTTATAAAGAATCCTTCGATCGATGTACAAAATTACTACACGTCTACGATTATGTCGGAGCGACTTTTCTTTTAAGAAGACGCTTCTCTTTAATTTTATCACGTCAAACAGCTTCTTTTTAAATCAAAGTTCTCGCAAGTATTTCTAACGAAATTCTTATTACGTAGCATACTAGTGTATCTTATAGAGATATACACTTAACAATTTCGAGTATATTTGGCTAAAATTGATGCTCGAAATTATCGGCTAATATAATTTGACGTTTGAAAAAACTTCAACAAATAGGACTTATAAAATAACATGGAATTTTATGTATCAACACGGTAGACATTAAAAGATGGCTTCGAGTCATAATGAATGCACTTGAGCCTAGTCCTTCAGTCTGCGAGATAAGAAAAACATCGGATATTCAGGACTAAAAAGTCCTGTGTAGAAACTGGCGAGACACCAAAGATAGACGTATCTTCATCGTTGTGTGTGTTTCGAATGGTTTTCACCGATTAGTACTGTCTTTGAACAAGAAAACGAGAAACTATACAGATATAGCATAACCGTACAGTCGAAAGGGCCTCGATTAAATTCAGGACGTCAACGGAGTGGAATGCGACGTATACTTTACAGAGACGATCGGTTGCGGTATATTTTAGGCACTACACTTTTTCTTTTTTCGAATGTTTAACTCATGTTGTCTTGATAACGTTAATGGAATGTAAGTATGTCTAGATGATTTCAGTGAAGGTAGTATTACATATTTGGAGAAATCGTGCTAGGACTTCGGTGAGGAGGACACTGCCCAATATAGTGCTTTCTACCTGTTCTTCGTAATTTGATATTTTATGCTTTATCTCGAAATGCTTCGACTACTCATTCTTAAAATTGGGATATAAGGATAAATGGGAAATGACATACTTACGATGCACACGGCTGGTGCATATTTTTGAATTCAAAAATCAATTCCCTTTCATTCGTGTCTTCAAACTTTCACGATACTGAAGTTTTTATTATTATTCACCAACGATAATAAATTTAACGCGATATCGAGTATCTCGTGGTATTTAACTTCCGATATTTCCTGTTTCTAAATTGCTAGTAAGAAACGATACGCGTTTCGACAGATGAACGGCAGTTCTATGAAACATCAATCGTATTTGTCTTGTCATAATGGTTTCTCATCGTGTATCGACGATTTGTCCGCTTATTAGTTATACGATTAGCAGGTTGCTACAGCATTCGATTTAGTATACGCGCAGAGGGCGAACACGCCGAACGTACGTTCCAGGATGTAGTCTATAATCGCTTCCTGTGCTAGCGATTGGACGGTAGCAAGGGGTCGATTGTACGTATCCGTCACGTATACACACAGGGGATGTGTTTCAAGGGAAACGATCGATTCGTCGATCGATATTTCCTAATATAACTGCTTTGTTACGATTCGTTTCGTTCCAATCCCATTCTACTTCAAATTCGTGATTCGATATCGGTTTAATTGGTTTAATCTTTCGATCAAAAATAGATTGACCCCTCGAACACGTAAATTACGTAAGCAAATATGTATTTTTTAAACACAGTTCGAATTCGAAGGAATAAGACGACAAAGAAATTTAGATTATTACGATATTGTTAATTTATCAAAAAAATCTAAATATAGTATCTCAATATTTACAGAATATTCATAGAATCAAACAAATATATTTTCTGTGTTCCAGTGTAAATAATTTCAAAAAAACAAACCAAAATCAGTACTGCAAAATTATGCAATCATATAGTTTTAATCGCGATGAAATAATCGAGGTAATCGAGGTTGGTTCGAATAGCAATTCGAAAAGATAGAGATTTTCACACTCGATCAACTTTTTGTCAGGCCGTGTACCGTTAACTTGGTCCTCGTATATAGAGGAACGAAAGGGTTGAATTTAAAATAAGTTGGTACAATTTTGCACACGGTGATAGCCGTGCGATTCGAACGGTTAACAGATAGAAGGAAAAACAAAAAGTTAAATCCTCTGGCGAAATCCAGTGGAATGGTGAAGGGGCGTATCGGAGGGGTAAATGGAAGGGCAAGGGAAGCAGGGTCGAATCAGTGCGAATGGAAGTGGACGTTAGGTCGAGCGATCGTCCTCCACGCGTCCGGCAGCCGGTGGATGAGTCGAGGCTCGAAGACGGCCGAGAGTGCACGAATGTCTCCGAAGCGACGAACCCTCGGCCCTCGGCAGAGCGTCGCCCCACCACATCCAGTCGTACTGCGAATGCCACGCTGTGAGCTTCGCATTCGCGGTATTTCGGGACTTTTCATTTGCTCAATAAATCGAACTTCGTTGTCACGGCACAGTGTTTCCGTTTCGTCGACGATATCCGCGTGAACGATAGGTCGTTAGATTTGACTCGATGTTTTGTAGAAATCGGGATTCTTCGTTGTTTCAACGGTAGTTGTAGTTGCACCGTTGGCGCTGCTTTTTCCAGTTCGAACCTAGCGTAAGCGTGTGCCACACGAGAAGGTACGGTCCGAGTGGCGAAAACCGGTGATCGAGGTTATCGAGTGTTTCCTCGCTGATTTATCTAATTCCGAAATTAACGGAGAGTGTGGAAAGTGCGCAAGCCGGAGAAATCGCGATGCGACAGCGCCGGGAGATGCTCCATTTGCAGTGGCAGCGGCAACAGGAAGGACAAGACGTTCCGACAGCAAGATAGAAAGGTTACCGAAGGAACAAACTGGCGCGTAGTTAGATAGCAGCGTGATTGACTCGAGTCGACCGGTAGGGGGACGCTGTCATTTCTTGTTCGAACATTTAAAACGAGCGCGCGGTTTAGCGGAACACTCGGTTCTGGTTGGTGGGACCGTTTTGTTGTTTACCAACGTCTGTGTGTGGTCAAACACAGGAACGTCGATTACTCCGAGGAGAGAGGGTCGGATAAAAAGGTGAAAGAGCGAAACGAACACGTTCGTTCAAGGTATATAGCGAAAGGGAGAGAAAGATAGAGAGAGGTAGAGTATAGGAGAACGCGTGCTCGTTGAAGATAGAAGAAGAAAGAACGATCGCTAAGAAAGAGAGGTAAGCAATAACGGCAAGTGGGCGCACGAGATGC